TCTATAAGCAACGATTAAATTTTGCACAAATAAAAATGTATTAATACCTAAGATCCATTCACCTGTTACGATCGTTCCCAACAACGATGAGAGAGAATAAAACCGATGGTAGGCAACTTTTATCGGCTTTCACATCTATTACACCTGTTCTGTTGAATACAAGCGGGAAAAAGAGCATCGTTTTCCATGAATCATTGCGCCATTGTATTTGAGAAGACATCACTCGAGGAGCCAGAAATGGAAGATGGCTGAATTTAATTCTCCTCCTTTATTATTCAAAATATCCGAACTCCTGTTCTCATTTCCATTATTATAGATGCTAGCACACTTTGGATATTTTCAGATGTCACTTCCTGAACAGAAAACTGATTTAAAAGGACAAATGATAACATGATAATCAACACATGTCTATCAAACCAATGGACACTTAAACAGTCCTCATATTGATAATTGCTTATCTAAAAAAATCCACAACTAAAATCATTCCAATTTTTATTTCAGATATATCAAGAGCATTAAAACGGAAGCTTACAGTCTGGCAGGGGGAAGAAAAGGGCGTGTACCGTAGTCGTATTATGAGAAGCCAACCATTGCGACTCGAAGATAAGATGTTTCTTGAAAGGGGTTAGGTAAAGATGCAGAAGAAAAGTGGTTCTGCTACGGCATCCTGTCCCATCAAATCTGTGTCGTCATCCCCCAGGTCGAGATGTTGACCTAACATGTCCCAGAAGGACTCTGCTTCTTCCCACATGGTACATTCGTTGACCGAGAATTTTCACGATCATTCCGCACTTAACATGTGGATACTTATTTTTCCTGATTGAAATCCCTTGAGTAAATCTAGGTTGTCGGTGAGAGAGATATTCACCGGCAGCCCCCACAATACCAACAACTCGTTGAAGGCTGCAATCATGGACGTGACATTCATCATAAACAGGAATCATCTGATCCGGGCAAGCAGTCACTTCATAAGTTGTATCGAGGACGTCATCAAAATTAAGGGCCGCTTTATTTAATAACCTTCTTTTTTTCTGAAATTAATAGTTTGTTTTTTATTTACTAAAATTGTTTTTCTTAAATTCTTAAATAACTTAGTTTTCGTTATTGCATCGAGCAAACACAGATTTTATGATTATCGGTCAATTCCTGATTCTTATGAAATCAGCGTTAGATCAACTTGTTAGCAGTTCCATTACCAGAATCCAAATTAGTGTTTCTACATCCGACAGATTTTCATAACGACATTGGTGAAGCAAGCTTGACAAAGAAATTCATTTGTGAAATTAGGAAAAGCTCATTCCAACTAGGCGCTCATTTATATTAATAACTTGTGCCAGACATTATGCATTTACATTAATGGCAGTACTTCACTGATCAAACCAAAAAGCATCTATTAAATTAAATCAATATTTTTCAGTAATATCAACATTGCTACGTTTCGATAGGCGCGCTAAGTAAAAGTTTTCTCTTTATAGCATGTCTATATCGAACATAATATCAATAAGTTCTAAGTTGATCTGTGGTGCCCACAATACTTACTCGGATCAATTTTTGCACTCTGTGTCAGATTAAAGAATAAAAACACCCCGGAGAATCAGGATTGACCTGGAAGTTGACCTCATAGTCATCAAGTATCCTTAAAGGATGTAAATAGCTCCTCCCGACATGTAAATAATTGGTAGAATCGCTTATGATGTGCACACGCTTATAAGCACACGCTTATGATGTGCGCACAAGTTGACAGGAATATATATATATATATATATATTCATATATAATATTCCCAAAAAGCCAAAGCACACGCTTATGCCAATACTAAATGACAAAGTCCGGACATGAACGTTACACTTACATTGAAAGCCAACATCTTCTATGGGAAGAAGATACCCTCTCTCTCTCCCCTCTCTCTCTCCCCTCTCTCTCTCTCTCTCTCTCTCTCTCTCTCTCTCTCTCTCTCTGGGCCACGATGTAGACAAAGGCGATAATATAATTTGTATAAATATCGAAGGAAACATATTCAAATATATATAAATTTACACTCAACTCAATTTTAAGCTGATACACAACGCGGCCAGCAGGGGCAATTCGATGTGGTGTAATGGTTAACAAGCTTGTCTCGCTAGATCAATTACGACTGAATATTGTTTTCGATCCTTACTGTACCCCATATTTTCGACCTTGTGCCACGTCTAACGTAACCAGCAGATTATTAACATTGGCACCATTACCCCAATGTAGATTGTCTGCCATATAAAAAAAAGAAACCAAATTTAGGGAAAATTATAATATGAAGTGAAAGACAATATTTTTTATTTTATTATTTGGACATTTCTCAAATCTACAGTTCCGCTCATCTCGCTTCTAGCGTTTGCCACCTGGTCCTCTCTTATTCTAGAAACAATCCTAATTATATATTAAAAGACTTACTCAGCTTGAGCGACGTTTTGCTATTTTTAGCATTTTCTGTTTCTATTCATTTCGCACTGCTGTCGAGATCCTT